CAGTTCGTAATTTTCGTACAAAATATAGACGGAATGGTGATTTAACAACATCAACTGTGAAGAGATTAATTGAAAAATTCAGGCAGACTGGATCAATTAGTGATGTTAAACAGTCTGTCCGTCCTTCAACAAGTCGCTCGACACAAAATATCGAAACAGTTCGTGAGAGTGTTGTTGAGAGTCCAGGAACATCCATTCGGCATAATCAATTAATTATTGAACATTTCGAGGTCTTTACTGCATCTTCATGCTTACAGAGTTCAATTGACTTAAGAATTGAAGCTTACTGACCTCGAAGAGCGATGAGAGTTTATTGAATGGAATATGGAACAAGTACATGCTGATTTTTCGAACAAAATCATCTTCAGAGATGAGGTTCATTTTTATGGCTTCATTAATCAACAAAATTGTCGCATTTGGGGTTCAAAAAATCCTCAACATGTTACTGTTTGATGCGGATTTTGGGCTGGATGCATCACCGGATACTAGTACATATTTTCACTATACAGGGTGTCCCAGAGCTGTCTTGACAGGCATTATCTCAGAAACTAGTCGAGATAGAAAGAAATGTTATATAGAAAAGATTTTGCTGCTTAAAAAGATGCGTTTAATCATTTTATTTTCAAATATACAGGAAGCCCCAGAAAGATGGTATATTGCCGAACTTCAATTTTTTAAATGGAACATCCTGTATATTTTTAAGTTTTTGGGTTCTCCTTTTATTTATGAACATATTTGAATAACCATGTTCTATACCTATCATTAACCGTTCTTGAGGTAATGTAGACAATTTTTGGAGTAACATTTTTTTAATAAGTACCTACTCTCAGGAATAATACAAAATAAAAAACATTATAGCTATTATAAAATGTGCTCAAATTGTAGGCCATTTTCATTTTGACACAATTCATACCTCCTTAAAAGTGCATGTGTACAAGAAGACGTATAACTTCTGGTGATATTTGACGGCAAGCACGAGTGATTGATATTATTCTGTAGATCTTCAAGCTTATTTGGTTTTTCAGCGTACACAACTTGCTTTAAATGTCCCAACCGATAAAAATCGAGAGGATTCAGGTCAGGTGACCGTGCAGGCCACCTAACAGGTCCCTGATTACCAATCTAGTTCCCTCCAAATCGTTCAGTCAAAAAATGCGTTACTACATGTGTGTTATGAGGTGGTGCTCCGTCTTGCTGCCACCACATAGTGAGGCGCTCATTTAATGGAATTTCTGCAATAAGATCGGGAACAATAATCTCAGAGTACCTTGATAAAAGTATGGTCCAATTATTCGTCCATTAAACAAGCCGCACCACACATTACCCAAATGGATTGAAAATGGGTTTCTCTGACCCAGTGAGGATTTTCGACAGACCAGTAATGGCTATTATGCCGATTAACCATACCATTATTGTGAAAACGTACTTCATCGGTCCACATAATTTTATCCTCCATAAAATTATTATTATTAACTGAGGGTCGTCATGTAACTGAACCATAACGTAGGCAATATACTCCAGACGTCTGTTGTAATCATTAGGTCTTAAATTTTGAACCTGTAAATTTTTATTAATTTTGTTTCATTTATTTTATTCACACTGTATAACGTCACTTTTAATATAACACTTATAGTTACTCCCTAATTACTCCGAACTATCCCGTACTACCTTGGCGAACAATCCGTGTCATAGAATAGTCCCGCATCTAAATTAGATGGCGTGACACCGGAGTTTTAAAAGATGTGACGAACCCACTCTCTTCCCTTTTTTGATTTTGTCATCGAAACGAACTAGATCGTATTCGAGAGACCATCCATTTTGTTTTATCGTGGAAGAATACCGAAATTTTTCAGTCTGGTATGTAAATGTGGTTTATTTCCTTTTAATTAACTGTTGCTTTAATTAATTGCCTTGCTTTATAATATTTTGCTAACGCTTGTACCTTTATTTATTTAATTTAGGTTCACTTTGACCTCCATTTTTGGTCAAAGGCATGTGGCAAGAAAAGATCCACGAGGTGTCTTATCTTGTTTAGTTTTTTCGTTTAGTGAAGTTTTAGAACCCGTTCTGTTGTCTTTTTATGCTTTCAGACTTTCAGAGTATTTGATCGGGACATCGCCTGGATTTTGACGATTACACAGAGGATAGTTAAACTTCCGATTTCTTCGCAGACTTGCAGAGTTTCTCTCTGGGCCCCTGGCAAATTTCACAGTCTGGATCGGAATTGGTTGGCTCACGATCCAAAGGAATTGATTGAGGTAAGTTTCTTTTATTGTTTTTTCTTTTAATAAAGGCAGCTTATTTTACCAATCCTTGCGGCCACCAAATGAAACCTTTTTTGTAGTCATATTAATTTCAGGGATGTAAAACTGTACTAAACGTACCTATTTATCGTATCTTTCTGGTTTTTTTATTATAAGTTTTTTGTCAAGCTATAGCAAAATTATCTAGTGTTTTTTTATTTAAATATCTTTTAGTATACCACATTTTCAAAACCACCATTTTGAAAAAGGTCAGACAAAGAAAATCTGATTCCTATATTACCATTTTTATAGGGTGTTTTTTTTATTATTACTTTTGCAGTAAATTTTATATATCCACGATACGATCTGATTATTTTCGAATTATTTTTTGGCTAAATTGACTTAGTAAATTTTAGTTAACAATTTGATATGTGAAATATTGTTTAAAATAATTGGAATTAAATCTTGCACAGATTCTCAAATTCTGTAGTTATCTCTAGTATAAATTCATTTCACTTTTCACCATTTTTAGTTAAGATTTCATCGTATTACTTATAATCATAGTATTAAAATAGTTAAACATAACATTAATTGTAAATATTACTTAATTTTAAGAAATTGTACATTACATTTTAATTACCGACAACCAGATTGAGTATTGTCTAACACTCATCCTTGTAAATATCCTACTTGCTTATATTTTTATTTTCTGCTTTTCAAACTTACAACACTTCACCACACGACGGATCTTCTGACCAAGACAACATAGTATTGGATCCAGGGCATCTCTCTATCAACATCTTTGGGAGGAGGTTGTCATGGAGTCTGTCACCCGATAACCAACTGGCCATCTCCATCAGACAGACGACCATAAAGTCAACACCCCCATTAGATTCCGGACAAACCAACGTAAGACCCATCCAATCTTAACCAAATCTTGTCAGAAGTGAACACCACCTCAGTATTGTAATTGTTTTTTTTTGTATAATCAAGTAGTGATATTGAACCCAAAAGTAATCTGTTGTGTCATATATTGTCGGACATTTAAATTAAAATTTTGATTGTAAGTTGATAAAAATTGCTACTTTTTTTATTGTTTGTAAAATTTAACCACTCATTAACATTCCATTGTATTAAATTGATTTTAAGAATATTTCGTTTAAATTTAGTCCTTCCTCATAATTTAAGAATCTATCTACACATTCATAACTTTGTACTACACCCCACGACCTTGTGATCTCACTGCACCCTACTGTAGCTTAGCTGGATGCATCTTTAAAGTGTACTTGGTGTTTTGTACCAATTATCCCCAAGAGTTACTCGTCCATGGTGACAAATAATAAATAACGTTACAAGCCAAAGATAGTTTGTAAGGATGATGTCCATTATTTGCTAGAATTCGGTGAACCAGATTTGCTTATATCAATTTCTTCAGCAAAATTACGAACAGACGCATGTGGATTGACTGCTATAAACTCAAGAATGTTGATAGTATTTTCTTCGTCTCTTGCCAAGCGTACATGCTGAACTCCTCTTGGGTTTAGAAATGAGCCAGCACGCAATTTTCGCTCTACATTAGAAAATGTTTGTCTAGATGGCACATGTCTATTAGGAAATCTTTCCCTATACAATAGTTCCGCGGCTCTGGAATTCTTTGGACACTCGCCATAAAAAGTAACATATCAACATATTCATTTAGTGTAAAAATTAATGGCATATCTAATACTTATTTGAAAATTGAATGGAGAGTTTGAAATTTAATTACTGTCAATGAAACTGTCGCAAAGCTACATTGAAGAATTTTTGACGTGTAGTCAACACCTACTTTATTTATTTAAGAGTATGGAAAAGGTCTGAATCAAGATTTAACCGTTCATGATAGGTATAGAACATGGTTAATCAAATATGTTCATAAATAAAAGGAGAACCCAAAAACTTAAAAAAATATATAGGGTGTTCCATTTAAAAAAATTGATGCTCTGCAATGTACCATCTTTTTGGAGCATACCATCTTTAGCGGTATCGGTAGTGGTACTGGTAGTGTTGGTGTTAGTGTTAGTGTTAGTGCTATAGCTATTGCTATATTGCTATGATTGTTGTTGTTGTTATTGTTATTATCATTATTATTGTCATTGCCGTTGTCATTGTTATTGTTCTGTTATTATCATCATCATTATTAATCATCGTCATCTGATATTTTACTTGAGCCCTTAACAGTGCAAATCAACAAGAGGGGCACTTGATGTTGAATAAAATGAAAATCCAGACAGCAGGTAACCCACAGTAGCTATAACCTCTTCAATGCCACTGTAAATCCTAGCCTCAGGACCTTGCCTTGAAACAACTGACTATATAAGAATAACTCTGGTGTAACTATTAAGGGACCAATACACTTGAAAATCCAGGTGAAAAAATTATTTAAATAAACGTTTTTCCAAAAATATTTATTTGTGCACAATATTACTACAAATCATATATCTAAGAATTATTTTCCAAAAATTTCTAATTCTATACAATATTACTACAAAACATAGACATTATCTATTAAGACAAAGACACATTGTTCTAATATAATGCTTAAATGTACGTATCTATCATGTATGGACACCGTTTCCACACCATACGATACCACGTATCGTTTACTATATCTTTGTCATATGAAAGTCAACAATCAAGGCTACCAGAAGTTCTTCTGATAAGTGAGATGAAGAGATTTAATGTGCAATGAGCTTATTAATTTCAGAAGAAAAATAAGGATTTGATGCAAACACTTTATTCTTGTCGGGCTTTTACCTCCATATTCTAGGCTTTATAGGGTCTAATTATTATTAATCATATTATACACATTCGAGTTTTCCCGGTTCTTGTTAATTAACAAAATTTGGTGAATTTTTGATGCAGTCTTATTTACCTGCATGATAAGAAATCAAGCAAGTGAGAGAAGGCATCACAACAATGTGCACTGTGTACGCATTATATGCACACAATGAACGATTATACCCTTCTTAAACATAAAGAGATTTTGCTGACGTGGTGGCGTATAACGTGGCAACACGCGTCACTGGACCACAGCAAAATATTTATCTATACTGTGCCGGAACAGTGTGTTTCTGTCCTTCTCCGCTATATGCGTACTGATATTTCACGTAAAAACCCCTTTTTAAATATTTTCCTATTAATCTTTTCTTCTGTTACCAGTTAATGTAATTGGTATTATATATAACTGGCATAGACAATCCATAACTCAACTGAAGAAGAATTTCTCTACAAACTACACTTTCACTCTGGGCTTCAATTGCTCCGTGCAATGGCGAATCCTTGAAAAGTTCCAAAGCCAAAGATTGGTAAGATTATATTCTATCACAGTATATGAACGATTACTAGACTAATGGGAGAAAGTAGACACCCAAATATTCCTCCGACACTAAGCATGATTAAATAGGACACGTCTTCTTTATCCCCTGCGAGTCTAAAAAAGTGTATATGTAATTAGCTTGTTGCATTAGTCGTGTTAAATAGTACTCTCTAACTGAAGGGTATTCACTCGTCAGTTCAAAGATTACAATCTAAAGCACTATAATTATCCAAAAAACACCTGCACAATTCCATTCAAGGATGCTGACAAGGTGTGCCATGACTTTCACAAAAACGAAATATATTATTATCGATTACATCATAAATACTAGTGATATGATTATTTATTCCGACGCATTTTCATAAAAACAAAACATAATAATGCCACAATTCACATTTGAAAACGGAGAGATGCATTTCGTTTTTGTGTTCTTTGATGGTAATGCAAAGTGTGCTTTCAAAAAATATCGTAGACGATATCCAACCTGAAGAGTGCCACATCGTTTGGTTTTTGCAGGGATTTATCACTATCTTTTAGAAAATGTGAACTATATACAGGGTCGTTGATATGAATGGAAACAGTTTCCTAAGGACACAAACGTTTTAGTTTTTTTTTAAATCTATTACAATAAAGAAAATATAAATATACAGGATCAGTCAAGAAGTCATGACGAAACAAATTTGTTTATTCTTTAATGGAACAACATTTATATTACACATCATGTACCTTTCTTGAGATATCGAACTTTTTAAAGTAACTTTTTATTACTTTCAATTTTATAGAAGAAAAAGGGCCCCAAATTATGGATATTTATTTTGAAAATAACACAGGGTGGAGAATATCGATATGATTTAATTTTATTATTAGTTTTTTACATAAAATAAGAAAGCATAATATTTCAAGGTTGATAAAAATATAAGAAACGAAAAAATATATTTTTTTAATGAATGTCCTGGATATTTTAAATATTATGAAAACAATAGTTATGCCAGAATAAAAAAAACGAGAGAAAAACAAGTTATAATAAACAACAAATATTTTCTTTGGAATTATATTTTATAAAGTGCTCAAAATGTTCGCCATTTATCTCCTGAGAGTAATGAATTCGCTGAACAAAATTTTGTAGTGTATCTAAAAGGGTGTTGGGAGGAATAGTGGAAATTTCATGCCTTATCCTTTCCTGCAGCTCTTCGATAATTTGTAGACTACATTTTTTATGTCACCTCACAGAAAAAAGTCAAGGGGGGTCATATCGAGAGAGTTAGGTGGCCATTCAATTGCCGCTCTGCGTCAAATCCATTTAATTGGAAAAGTTTCATCTAGATATGCCAGTACAACACGTCCAAAATGTGGAGTAGCCCCATCACGTTGAAACCATATTTATTCTGCCGGTAAATTGGGATTGTTATTGTTATTGATCGTATCAATATCGTATGGATGGACAGTTGTGTCGGTTTACGTGCCCGATTAAACAAAATATAAATTCGTCAGGAAACAATGGGTGACAAAGTTGACATTTTCGTTTAATTTCGCAGAACTCGATTTTACGATCATAATCGTCTTCACTCAATTCTTATAACAAATTAATTTTATATGGATGTAATTTTCCTCGTTTGCAAATTTTTTAAATGGAATATCGACTCATGTTATAATTTCTGTTGTGTCGAATTTATTGGATTATTTAACACATTTAACATGGCATTCAAAGAATTTTCTTTTTGTGTTTTGTAACGCTTCCTGGTCTTCCACTTTTTCGTCGATCAGTAACACTTTCAGTTTCATGAAAACGCTACAATGTTTTTGAAACGGTTGATTTAGAAATACGTTCCCGATCGGGATGCAATTCATGAAAAATATCCACTACTTCGTCACAATTTCGTCTTCTATCACCATATCCTATGATCATTAAAAGCTTAATATGCTCGATTTCAATTAAACATGCCATTTTTACGAGAAAATTATTCATATTAAATGTATTTTTGACATATGTTGTCAAGATAATCAGTATTAGACAAAAGAACGACGGGGCGTTGTTATGAAACTAGAAACTTTCATAGGTGACTTGATGGATTATAAACTTAAGGGACTAATATTTTTGTAACTTCAAAGCTCGATATCTCAAAACCGGTTAATTCAGGTACATGAGGTGCTGTATGAATTTTGTTTAGATTTTAAGAAGAATTGAAATATGGAATAATATACAGGGTGTTACACTAAAGAAAAAGAAACTTTGTTTTGTCGTGACTTTTTAATTGATCCTGTTTACCTTAAATTTCCTTTATTGCAATAGATTTTAAAAAAACCTAAAAAGTGTGTATCTTACGACTTTTCGATAGCTACCTTACTTTAGGAGATAATCGACCGTTTCCATACACATCAGCGACCCTGTATAATACTGCTACTTCCTGGACTGTCGTTTTTTAAACTTACTCTCGGATGCTGAGCATACCAGCATTCATTAAGTAGCCGGAACTCGCAGAGCACAATACAAGAACTAGGATGTACTCCCAGTCGTGTGGAAATAGAACTGGAAGGTGATTTCTGGGCTGCGCATTACAAAACCACACCAGAGGTGGTAGAATTACCATCCTAAGGAGCACAAAGCCTACTACCCAGATACTGTTAGATTTCTGAAAACGAAAATTTGTTAGCAATGAGCATTGCATTATTAAGTGTGAATATTAAAAAAATTACCGTAATTATGGCCCTAGACGTTAACCTTCCAAACAGTGAGCAGAGTTCGGTAAACAAATACGTAATGGTAGGTATAAAGTACACATCTAAAAATGTAATGGATCAAAAATATAATAACAATAATAATAATATACAGGTGTTCCACCTAAGAGGGATTCTTCTGTGACTCTGTAACTGTAAAATTTATAAAAAAAATGGTTTTAATAAAAGTTGTCTAGAATCATGTAGGCCATGTAAAGAAAATATTTTTAATTTTACAGAGTGTTCCATTTCGCGTGGGCGCTACATAACTTTGTTATTTTAAATGGAACACCCTGTTATTATTGCGTTTTTGAATTCCTTGGTTAATATTAGATACAGGAACTTTTAATAATCTTACGAGTTGAAAAACTTTTTTTTTTCAAATGGCATGACCCATATTAATTGTCATGGGTGAATGCAAAATTGAATGGCCTTTCGACTGATATAAGGTTATCCCTACTTATCTCTTAACAGTTTTCCAGAAAATCAGGATCTTTTCTAACAGCGTCAAGAAGGTCTTGCAAATGTATTAGTAATGGGTTTTCCAATAGGGATGTCCGGATTTCAATATATTACTATGGCAACACTGCGTATTATTATTTGACATGTTACTTGTCAAACATATTCAGTATATATTGCCATTTCATCATGGAAAAGTATACGCTCGAACAACGGTTGGAACTTATTAAATTTTATTATCAAAATCAGTGTTGTGTTGTGAAAACTTTACGTGAACTTCGAAAAAAATATGGTCGTCGCACTAAACATAATGAACGATATATTCGTCGTCTTGTAAGCAAATTTGAAACAACATTTTCTTTGCACGATGTTGCTGTACCAGTACGTGCAAAAAATGCAAGATCACAAGAAAATATTGAGGCAGTACAGCGAAGTGTAAGAGAGGATAGTGAGATGTCCATTTCACGTCGCTCTCAAGCATTAAACATTTCTCAAACCACTACCTGGAGAATTTTACGTAAATATTTGAGTTTACATACATATAAAATTCAATTAACGCATGAATTAAAGCCTGCTGATCATGCATTACGTCGTGGTTTTGCTACTTGGGCATTAGACAAGTTAACAGAAGATCCTTTCTTTTATCGAAAAATCATCTTTACTGATGAAGCGCATTTCTGGTTGAATGGTTTTGTGAATAAACAAAATTGCAGAATATGGAGCAATGAAAATCCTCATGCCGTTGTTGAAAACCCTTTACATCCTGAAAAAGTGACTGTGTGGTGCGGTATTTATGCTGGTGGCGTTATATTACAGTGAATGGTGAACGTTATCGGGCTATGTTAACGGATTATGTGTTTCCTAAACTTGAAGAAAACGATTTAGGTGATTATTTTTTTCAGCAGGATGGTGCCACGTGCCATACTGCCACTGAAACAATGAATTTATTGAAAATCAATTTGGTCCAGAAAAGGCCCTATCAATTAGACATAAAGATCGTGCGATTTAACGCCTTGTGACGTTATTTTGTGGGGTTTTGTTAAGTCACAAGTGTACAGCGATAAACCAGCAACAATTGGACACTTAATAGCCAATATTGAAAGAGTAATTGGTGAAATAGAGGCCAATTTATGCGAAAAAGTAATGATAAATTGGACCAAGAGATTACGATACGTCCAGCGCAGCCGTGGAGGTCATATGAATGACATTATTTTTCATACGTAATGGCGACATGTTACCTCTCAAATAAAAAAGAGATTTTAAATTTATCTTTTCAATTGTGTGTTTTCTTTACATTTTAAATTCGGACATCCTTAATGGAAGACCCTTTACAATGCCGACGCATATAGGATTTGACAAAAGCATAGCACAGCACATCCTTATCGCATCCAATTACACCAAAAGTTACTGAAATTAGACTTTCAGTGGAGACTGGAGTTTTGTCAGTGGGCACTGGAGATGTTAAATCAAGATGATTAAACGGGCCATGTTCTCCGATAAGGCTACTTTTCATAAAAATGGTTTCGTTAATAGACATAATTGCCATTATTATGACACAATAACTTCTCACCAATTCCGAACAACTCATAGCCAACGATGGTCTTTGAACGTGTGGGGAGCAATTTTGAGAACCCATGTCATTGGACCATTTTTTTTTTTGACCGTCATCTAACTGGAGCAGTTTATTTAAACTTTTTAACAAACACTCTAAAAGATTTGTTCTTTCCTTTACCCACACTTCAAAGAATGTGGATGCAACATGATGGTGCTCCTCACAATACCGCTAGGGTTCGTCAGTTTTTCCCAAAAGATGGATTGGGCGTGGGGGACCAGTGAGTTGGCCTTCAAGGTGTCCAGATATGACAAGTTGCAACTTCTTTTTTGGGGATTTATAAAAGGCAAAGTTTACGTTACACCGCCAACTACCGCGGAAGATACGCCAGACATGCTGACCAATGTTAAACAGTCTTTTAAAAACCGAATTCGTTTGTGTTTATCAAAATGGAGGACACCTCGAGCAATTGATGTAGATCAGCGGCCTAAGTATTCTTCTCCTTGTTGTGTTCCGAGTTTCAGTTTGTTTCGTTTTGCGTATTGGTTCAGTTGTTAGTGGTTTATGTTTGTTTGTCACACCCTTTTTTAAACATGCCAGTAAATATTGACACTATCAGTCCCAGGCCTGTTAAAATGTGAGAGAAAAGTTGTTTTGCAAGGCATTCTTAACGCTGTTACTGTCTACTTTTTCGGACTTTAGAAAAGAACCTGATTTTTCTGGAAAACTGTTAAAGATAAGTATGGCAACCTTATGTCAATCGAAATGGCATTCAATTTTGCATTCACACATGACAATTAATATGGGTCATCCATTTGAATAAAAAAGATTCACTCAAAGATGACAAGATAGAGTAATTTATGACAAAACGAACTGTGGAAACTGCTGGTTTCTAACTCTTACGAGTTAGACGCTATCTAGCCTCATTTAAAGAGATGAAATTGTGATTTTTTTCAAAAACATGATTATCTCGAAAACGGTAAGTTTTAAATACCATGTACATTTAATAAACTCTACCTAATATTAACCAAGGATTTCAAAAATGCAATAATATACAGGATGTTCCATTTAAAATAACAAAGTTATGTAGCGCCCACGCGAAATGGAACACCCTGTAGAGCTAAAAATATATTCTTTACTTGGCCCACATGATTCCAGGCAACTTCTATTACAACCATATTTTTTATAAATTTTACAGTTACAGAGTCACAGAAGAATCCCTCTTAGGTAGAACATATTTGCAAGACATACATAGATACATTACAACAATATGTTTAAATTAATTAGGTAATTGTAGCAAAACGGAACTGAAGACAATTAAGGGGTTAAAGATTAAATTTTGCTATCAAACTAAATAATTTAACTATGAACAGTATAAACCGACCTCTTAAAGTGAATGAATAAGTATTCTTAATGCAAATATACAGGTGTGTGATGAAAACAATGTTTTTAGACAGTGTTTATGAAAATGAATAGAGAATTGTCTAATTCTATTTCTAAATGAGATAGTTTGTAATGCTTTTAGAGAAGCTGGAATATTATTGGTACTGACTGTTGCTAATCAATAGAGATCGGAAATGTTAGGGCTGCTGCAATGTGGTACAGGGTTAGTTGTAGGCCGGGTTCTCTTTTATGTAATTTTAATCAAACAAAAAGTAACACAAGCGTTGCCCTCTTATAACTGCATTATTTACATTATAAGAATATACAGGGTGTTCCAGAGCTAACTTGACAGGCTTTATCTCGGAAACTAATCGAGATGGAAAAAAATGTTATATAGAAAAGGTTTTCAGCTTAAAAAGATGCGTTTAATCATTTTATTTTCAAATATACTGGGTGCCCCAAAAATATGGTATATTGCGGAACTTCAATTTTTTAAATGGAACACCTTGTATATTTTTAAGTTTTTGGGTTCTCCTTTTATTTCTGAACATATTTGATTAACCATGATCTATACTTTTCTTTCTATCTCGACTAGTTTCCGAGATAATGCCTGTCAAGATAGCTCTGGGACACCCTGTATATGTATGTATTTGCATAATAGTACGAAACAAATAGGGGCGTTCGAAAACTTTCTAAACTCTCAGGGTCCATTTATATTAGAATTGGACAATTTCTTACCTGTCAGTTGAACGCTTCAAAACGACTTCGATTTTCATCACTTTCTTACGCGGTTTTGACTATCTAGGAACAAAAATATGACATACGCGAGTATCAAAACAATTATGTCTTATAAGAAGTTTCATAACAAATAATTTCATTAATAATGATTTTTTCTCTAAACTGCATATTTACAAAGATATTGGAAAATGTGAAAAAAAATACGTCAATTTTGCGTATTTTTACACTTTTTAATTTTTCCTACAAATAGCACAATATTTTTCTTTGTATTTTCATTGTATTTGTAGGTATATACAGCGTGTAACAAGTATGACTGCCATAACTTCAGCATGAGATAGAGTAATCATAAATGAACTAATAAGTTGTATATTAGGAGTGTAAGAATAACAGTTTTCAAAATAAGGGAGTATTAATATTGGGGAGTTTTATCACAACATGACAACAGCGCTACACAGCTGATGCACACCACGGGTACACATGGCAGACTTGTCCTACGGAAAAAATGTAAACAACTATTATTGTGAAACATTTAGTAAATTTCAAGACAATTGTTTTCCAGTTTTTAAATAAATAAAATAAAATGTATCGATTTTGTAGTACGAAGATAGTGTTGTGCTTAAATTGTAGGTCGAATTTTATTATTTATGAATCTCTTAAAACAGGAACTTAACTTTTAATCAAATTATAAATTTGAAAAATATGTAATTAAAGTACCCAAAGATGCACGTCGTCCGAATAATCATACGTATTAAAAATAATTTAGGGACTTTGCAAAAATCAATAATAATTTTTAAACGCAAGTACAAAACAAACTACAACATATGCTCAAAATGTCCACCACCATTTTCGATGCACGCGCGACACCTTCGAATCCAATTTTCGCGCACTCGCTGGAAAATACCTCATGAAAATGAAAAAAAAAAAAAACTCCAGTGTCCAATTCCAGATACCAACACCAACTGATAGACTAGGCGGTATCTGTTTTGGTTTAGGTGAATCGTATATCCACGGAGATTTTTGGCTTTTTGGCTTTCAAATATCACTAGAAATGAAAATTTTTCTATGCGCATAAAAAAAAACGTGGGCTTAACTTTTGGCGGCACAATATGTTAAAAAAAATCGAAAATTGTCATATTTTTCTTCCTATTTAATTATGTATCTTTTTAAGAGTTGATTTTAGGCGAAAATGGAACAGGAAAAAAATGTTTATAATTCAATGTTTTACAAAACATGACTAGTTACAAATCGAATGAATCATGATTATTATGGTAAAAATCGAAAAAATCGCAAAAATGGGGTTAAAACACAATACTTTTTAGGGATTTTTTTTTGGGGGTATTTAAACTGGATATAGGACTTTTATACTTGACTCAAGAAAACTTCATGTTATGTAGAATCTTCACACCAAATTTCATCAAAATCGGTTCGATAGATTTTGCATAATAATTTTGCAACCCAGATTTTCAAAATAAAAAAAATTGCAAATTTTCAAAATTTTACACAGCAAAAACCGAGGCCCTTAGATACTTGAAAATTTAATCACATATAGAAGGGTTCTCAAGCTTCCAAACTTTTTTTGAAAAATTCGGATCCATCAATTAGGAGAGCTCTGGCGCTTGTTTAAACATTGGTCGAATTTTTGTACTTATAAACAATTAGAATAACTTTGTGAATATTCAATCATATCAAATTTTTTAAACCAGATTTTAAAAGTTCTTGGAAAGACGCTTCTTTAAAAAAAAACAGATCGATTGATCAATTAGTTACGTAGTTATAGCCGATCAAAGTTTAACTGTCATTTACACTAAATGTACTGGGACATCCGGGCTAATTTTTCGAAAAATACCTTTGGTATTCCGTGTACTTACCAGGTCTAAGATTACAATACTTTTGTTCATTAGCAACCTACTTTAAAACGTGTATAAAGTTATTTACGTAAACGAAAAATTCAAGAAAATCGTATGGGTGGTGGTGGTTAGGGAAGCAGAGAGCGCGGCCCCTTTGGCCTGCTCGAAATTGAATCGGCGAGTTCAAAACCGCGATGCACTTAAAAATTTTTAATATCTCACCTTCTAGAGGTCCGATTTTGATTTTTTTTTTTTAATTTTAGCGTATTTTCAAATGCCTATCGTTAATAATTATTGGTCTTTCAACAGTCCGAACAGTCCTTTACTTATCAACTTTATTTTTCTATTGTATTTTCTTTTGTATTGTCAAAAACAAATTTATTTAAATATTCTGAAATTGTTCAAACAACAATTATTTTCAAAATGTGACGAAAATTCGTAATATAAATAATGAGTTAATTTCTCATTTGCTTATATTTTAAACAATAAATAATATTTGAATTATACTTTAATCACAAAAAAAATAATATTAAAAAAGTATATTTCTTTCATTTCAATGTATTATTTCGTATTTGAAAAATACGACCTTGAAAAAAAATAGATACACGTATATACCGTTAGGAAAAGCATCTCTACAACCTGTATATACAGTGTTATTTTTTTTAAACCTGACAGTCCAACTTTTTTATTTGAAGTAATAGACTAATACTTGCAAATGCAAAGTTGTAGGAAATAACTTGTTAAGAAAAATTTACAAACATTTTTTTCCGGTGTTGCCATTTAAAAATATATCATTTTAGTAGCTACTGCAGAAATCTGGCAACACCGGAAAGAATTATTTGTAAATTTTTCTTATTTTTTTTAAAAGAAGTGTCTTTCCAAGAACTTATAAAACCTGGTTTAAAAAATTTGATTTGATTGAATATTCACAGTGATTCTAATTGTTTATAAGTACAAAAATTCGACCAATGTTTAAACAAGCGCCAGAGCTCTCCTAATTGATGGATTCGAATTTTTCAAAAAAAGTTTGAAAGCTTTAGAGCCCTTCTATATGCGATTAAATTTTCAAGTATCTAACGCCCTTGGTTTTTGATGTGCAAAATTTTGAAAATTTTTTTTCAAAATCTGGGTTGCAAAGTTATTATGCAAAATCTATAGAATCGATTTTGATGAAATTTGATGTGAGGATTCTACATAACATGTAGTTTTATTGAGCCAAGTATATAGTATATAGGTCCTATACCCAATTTAAATACCCCAAAAAAATTCCCTAAAAAGTATCGTTTTTTAACCCCATTTTTGCGATTTTTTCGATTTTTACCATAATAATCATGATTCATTCGATTTGTAACTAGTTACGTTTTGTAAAAAATTTAATTACAAACATTTTTTTCCTCTTCCATTTTCGCATAAAATCAAGTCTTGAAAAGATACATAATTAAAGAGGAAGAAAAATATGACATTTTTCGAATTTTTTTAACATATTGTGCCGCTAGAAGTTAAGCCCACGTTTTTTTTTATGCGCATAGAAAAATTTTCATTTCTAGTGGTATTTGAAAGCCAAAAATCTCCGTGGAAACAGATGCCGTTTGGACCATGAATTGCTTATTGCTGGATAGATCGATATTAATTTTATCGAATTTTAAATTTATTACAACGCTAATTATTTTTTAGAATTAACCATAAAGAAGTTCAAAAAAGTCATAAACTTTGTATTTTATGGTATTCTATATACGCAGTTATGTCAATATTCCTTAATTAATCGAACTTTTGTACATCAAGTTGGAGATTTTGAAAATTTTTTTCTCGGAAATGATTGAATAGGATAGGATATAAGGTTTTTTTGCTTATTTTAATGTATTTTACTGTCTGTTAAAATTAGGGCAGTCAAACTTCTAACACCCTGTATTATTTTTGAGCGATTTTTACTAATATCTAATCTACGTCAAACGACAACCATATCTCAAATGTTTTGAGCTTAATTTTCCCGAACTATACTGACAAGCAACTTTGAACCAATCAAATTTATTAATTCAACGTCTGACATCACTTTTAGACGTTTAAAACCAGTTTGACCTTCTATTCTAAAATATAATAATAGAGAAAATCTGATGCGTATTTTTGATAAAATTTTAACCTATAATGTAAAGAAATTTTCTTTATGTTTTATCAAATTACCATTGTTGCTACAACATACGAAATGATATCATCATTTACAAAATCATCACAAATTTTTCAGAATTGTTCAAATTTTTTCAAAATGATAAAACTTGTCACTTGATGGTTTTGCAAAGAAATTCTAAAGAATAATTGTAGATTAACAACTAACGAAGTGTCATTTTTTGGTTTGCTTAATCTGCACCAAGCTTAATATATCTGACAATTAGTGAATTCTCATGCTAAAGTTTATATCAAAATAACAATGTTCGCTAACTTTGATTAGCAAAAATCTGGGGTATATTCGATAAAAGAACTTCTTACCGTTCCATTTATTCCCATTGCCATAGTTCTCTGAAACGACTAAAGTGGTAATAGTGGGATGCATCATACTCATAGTAACGAATCCAAGAATCATTATAGCCAAACAAGGCCATATTCGAAAGAAGGCGACCTTAATGTCTTCTCTCGTGTGCTTCTTCTTCGTATCTTCCACCTCTAGGTGCATGTAATACTTGTAGAAAGTCGTGTTTTGAACGAACAGATGCAAAAACCAGGTTGAAAAGATTATTAGATCGCCTACGATGAAGTAGAACAGTGCTGAAGCTTCTGTAGAGGTTCCAAGACTCAAGGATAGAATTTGCATAAGTGCGCTGAAAATCGTGGCAATTCCCTGACCGAATAAGAAGGTCTTCATGTAAACTGGGGGGAATTTCGATACAATAGCTGTAGAGGTGACTTGAAACAGGTTAAGGGTACCTGAAAGAATATATGTATTTCAGGATATCCTGGCTTCTTTTTAGTTGTATTTTTTTACCTGTTAGAAGCGACATTGCCGCAAGAGTAAGCACAAAAAATGCCACCTGCCCTAAAAAATATCTTAGTTATAAACAAAAATATAAGAAGTTGCTACTTATACAGGGTATTCAGATACAAATCAGTCAAACGTCACTGATGTATTCAACTATAAGACTTTGGAGGATTATATTTTACCTCTACTACAAAATTTAAAACAGGAAGTTCAAACTCAATTTCGGAAAAATGTCATATTTAAAATATTCAGTATAAAAGGTGTACAGTTGTTCTATGAAACTACCATGTATTTTTTAAATAAAAATGGATTTCAGTTCTTTTGCAATTGTCAAAATAATACTAAGGAATTGTTCTAATATAGAAAACTTCCTAGTTTGCAGCATAATAAACAAGCTCTATGATTTATTTCAAAGTTAATGAAACCAAGCCAGTCTTATACCAAGTTTCAAATGGTTACTTTCGGATACACTGACAAAATTCATTTAAAAATAATTAGCTCTATATCTTGAAAACAATAAAACATTAGATGTATAAATCACAGAAAAAGGTCTTATCTTCATGATCTATAGTATAGAGGCCAATCAGTAGAGCATTAAATCAATGATTTTGTGACAAATATACTAGTAGCAAACGGATTGTGCCATCATATAGAAGACAGTCTGTAGATATATGCTTATATGTTTCCTACTCCAATTTACCATTAATTAATTTTTTTTTGTTTTTTTCTTAAAAATCCTAAACTAACGAAGACAATTTTTAGAGAATCAAAATATGAATAAAACGAGAGGTCGGTCGATCTGATCGGATAATTAGAAACGAAGAAAACCTGGAAAAATCAAAAAATTTACGTATTCTTAAAAATTCATTACTCCACCATTTTTTTTATTGTAGAGGGAGTTGGGGGCAGTGGATATACAGGGTGTTCCACCTAAGAGGGACTCTTCTGTAACTCTGTAACTGCAAAATTTATCAAAAAATCGTATAGGCCATGTAAAGAAAATATTTTTGGCTTTACAGGGTGTACCATTTCGCGTGGGCATACATAACTTCGTTATTTTAAATGGAACAATGTATATTATTGCGTTTTTGAATTCATTGGTCAATATTAGGTAGAGTTTATTAAATATACGTCATCACAAATACGAAATCACAATTTCAGCTCTTTAAATGAGGCTAGATAGCATCTAAACCGTAAGAGTTACAAACCTGCAGTTTTCACAGTTCGTTTCGTCATAAATTACTCTATCGTGTCATCCATGAGCAAAACGTGTACGTTATTCAGACTCGGAAATACTAAGACCTACATTTAATAATCTTACGAGTTGAAAAACTTTTTTTTTCAAATTGATGACCTATATTAATTGCCATGGGTGAATGCAAAATTGAATGCCCTTTCGATTGACATAAGGTTGTCCATACTTATCTTTAACCGTTTTCCAGAAAAATCAGGTTCTTTTCCGAAAAAGTAGCTATGTAACAGCGTCAAGAAGGCCTTGCAATTGTATTATAATACAACGTCGATACATAGGATTTTACAAAAGCACAGCACAGCACATCCTTATCGCGTCCAATTACACCAAGAGTTACTAAAAGTAGACTTTCAACTGAGACTGGAGTTTTGTCGGTTTGGTTTGTTTGAACGTGTGGGGAGCAATTTTGGGAATCCATGTCATTGGACCATTCTTTGTGACCAGAAACTAACTGGAGCAGTTTATTTAAACTTTTTAACAAACACTCTAGAAGATTTGTTAGGCGCCATTCCTTTAGGTAAACGTCGAAGAATGTGGATGCAACATGATGGTGCTCCACTTCACAATACCGCTGCGGTTCGTCAGTTTTTACATGGAACTTTTCCCAACAGATGGATTGGACGCGGAGGACCAGTGAGTTGACCTTCAAGGTGTCCAGATATGACAAGTTGGGACTTCTATTTATGGGGATTTTTAAAAAACAAAGTTTACATTACACCACCAACTACCGCAGAAGATATGTGGCAGCGCATTACAGTAGCATTTCAAGAAATTACGCCGCACATGCTGACCAATGTTGAAACGTCTTTTAAAAGCCGAATTCGTTTGTGTATTAATCAAAATGGAGGCCTTCGAGCAATTGATGTAAATCAACGGTCTAAGTATTCTTCTCCTTATTGTGTTCCATAGATATTGACACTGTCAGTCCTAGACCTGATGAAATGTGAGAGAAAAGTGGTTTTGCAAGACCTTGACGCTGTTACATAGCTACTTTTTCTGACTTTAGAAAAGAACCTTATTTTTCTGGAAAACTGTTACAGATAAGTATGGACATCCTTATATCAGTCGAAAGGGCATTTAATTTTGCATGCACCCATGACAATTAATATGGGTCATTCTATTTGAAAAAAGAAAGTTTTTCAACTCGTAAGATTATTAAATGTAGGTGTCACTATTTCCGAGTAAGAATAACGTACACGTTTTGTTCACAGATGACAAGATAAAGTAACCCTTACGGTTTAGACACCATCTAGCCTCATTTAGAGAGGCGAAATCGTGATTTTTTTCAAAAACAACTGATTATCTCGAAAATGGTAAGTTTAAAACACCATGTACATTTAATAAACTGTACCTAATATTAACCAAGGAATTTAAGCGAAATCTTGACATCAAACGTGAATTTGAAAGTTTTCTTACAAAATGTACTTTTCTGTTTCGAAGAATATATATTTAGGTGACCTTGTATACCGTTAAGGAAATTTTATTACATTTTGTAAGTTGTTTATGAACGAATTTACAATGAAAATTTGTTTTTCTCGAAAATGTTTGTGACATTCCTCGTTTTATTCCTATTATAAACGAAAGATTTTGCAATAATATTTACCTATTGGCAGTTGCAGATGTTTCCGCTACATGAAAGTCGCTTGTACACTCCACGACATGGTATTATTTATTATGTATCACCACTTACTATACAGGGCTGGAAAATCCACATGGTCCATCTGCCTTTACATGAGAACGACAAAGTAAAGTAAAGAAATCCGTGCGATAGACAAGGATGGCTATAGTGAAGACGTTTCATAATCTGAATAGTCACCGCCCATTTCAGGTTAGAAGTGGGACTGACTATTCAGATTATGAAACGTCTTCAATGTAACCATCCTTGTCTATCGCACGGATTTCTATGACACTTTATCGCTCTCACGTAACGGCCGATGTACCATGGGGACATTCCGAACCTGTATATTAAACTATACTATAAGTAATATTCAAAATTGTATACATACACTGCCCCTCATCTCTTGATCTTGTGCCTCTACTTGACCGCGTACGCGGACTCGGACGTTTTTGAGCTTGTTTGGAGGAATTTTTCACCTGTTTCGCATCATTATATCGGAAAATAGAATATACGTTTTGTAGTATTATACTTCTATTTTTAAAATCCGGCTGAAACTTAAAATCTCCAACGCATCCAGAAAGTTTGCAAAATAGTGCACCAAAATATTCAAATTGCAAATGTGCCAAAACTAATGGTCCGACAGCGCCTGCTTTGTGCACACTTAAAGTACGTATAAATTCACTACTTTTGTACACAGGGTAAGCTTTACAATTAAAAAAATGGCGGAGTAATGAATTTAAAAAAAAACGCTAAATTTTCTGATTTTTCCGGGTTTTTTAATTTCTAATTATTATCAGATCGGATCGATCGACCTCTCGTTTTATTCGTATTTCGATTCTCTACAAATTGTTTCTTTATAGCATTCAGATTGCTTCGTTAGTTTAGGGTTTATAAGCAAAAAACTTTAAAAAATGCGTTTTTTGCATAAAAATGTTGGAGTAGGAAACATATTAGCATATATCTACAGACTGTCTTTTAAATGATGGCACAGTCCGTTTGCAACTAGTACTTATTTTTGTCACAAAACCTCTGTGAATTGGCCTAATATAAATCTGAATATTTGAACATGTATTGTATTGATTTTTTTTAAATGATTGTTTTAATTGACTGAACATTCATAGCTTTTATGATCATATAATTTGACAGGAACGTGTTAAAATTAGTAGCGGGTGCTTTTCCTTTTCTAACTAATATTTTTTCATACATTGAAAAAAAATACATATATATACTTACATGTATCAGTGTTAATCTTTATGAAGGCAGTAAATACTACGAAAATAGCGTTTACGAAAGTCACAGATAAAAGAATTCTGGAGCTAGCTTTAAATCTAGGTCCGTATGTTACTGATAATAACATGGCCGCTACAGAAGGTACTGATTGGACTACCATCCCTCCTGAGAAGAAATATTTTTCAAGGGTTGTCTTATTGTTCAGATCTACCGTATCCTTTGCGGGATCTCTAAATTTATACATCCAGTACTACAAAAAATAGATAGTAAAGTAATAATCAATGTTTTCCATGTTTTGAAAATATAACTACTTTAGCATTTATCCTCGACGATTTTACCCACACCTAAAATTAGTCGTAACCAAATCGTTACAAACGTGAGCTATTCGAGTTCAAAAACGAAATTCAACGTATTAGCCCTTTGGTTTTGGGACATAAGCCTCAATTTTGCAACAGTTTTTATCCGACAGGTAAAATCGTCGAGGATGAACGAAGTATATAATAAATAATAATAATAATTTATTCGTAGAAAATCCAGAATATATAAAACGTAAATCAATATTAAAAGCTATACGAATAAACAATACTTGATAAGTTTACACCTGTTTCAAGAACATAAAGTAAAATATGAACATACATGACAAAATGCCTATCACAGAAAAACATCAAACACGCATATAATAAAACAAAACAGGAAAAAAATACATAATTATACAGAGAGAAGAAAAGTATGTATATGTTTACGGAATCAGTCAATTCGGATTAATTGTATTAATAAAAATATTTACTTATTGTTTCCCGAGGAGTTTCTAATATGTACATTTTAACTTTCCTCTTGAATGCATACATTGATAGATTGTTTACTTTCAAAGAATCAGGTACAGTGTTATATAATTTAGGTGCTAAATATAGTAGTGATCTTTGGCCCAAATTTTTTTGGCATAAAGGGAGATAAGAACTTTTGTTTTCTTCTAGTTTCATAATTATGAGACATTTCATGCTTATTATTAGTATAATGATACCTACAAACACAGTTGTAGTAATAAAGTTGTCTTACATCGAAGACTTTAGGCTTCAAGGTACAACTCATTACTAGGGTAAGTTAATTCTTTTTGTAACATCATCTTTAAAAATCTTTTTTGTATAATTGTGAGAGGTTCAATGTGACTACTAACCGCTGAACCCCAAGATAGCACAGCGTAATTTATATGACTCTGTATTAAAGCATGATAGACCATTTTTAGATATTGTCTAGACAACATCCTACAGAGGTACTTAAAGGTATATAAAATGGAATGAAGCTTCTTTATAACATAATTTATATGTATATCCCATCTCAAATGACAATCTATAAAAACACCTAAATATTTTGTTTTTATTGCATGTAAGATTCTAATTGTATGATCCTTGCTTTCTAATTTCAGATAATTAAAAGATGGGGAAACTGACTTATTGCATGTAAAAGGCAAGTAGCTCGTCTTTTCCAGGTTAATTGTCAATAGTTTGTAACTGAACCAATCTTTTACGTAAGACAATTCACTTTCCACAGTTTATGAAGCCGCTATGAGATTTGCACTTATAACTTTTATACATATTTAAACTATGTTTTTAATTTTTTTGTAACTCATTTGACAATATTATTGTTATGTATGTTTCTTCTCTTATAAGTAATTTTTTCCTGTACCTATGTATTTTTACTTATTTCTTTGTGTCGATGTTTGTATCAATTTATTCTTGTGTGAATATTTTAATTTTACATTTTACTTGTATGAATTATTTCTGTAATGTTCTGTAATTGGATTTGTTCCCGTTGAACTAAAATATATATTTCTACTTCTGTTTCTATAATGGGTATACACTGAAAAAACAATTACTTTCTATTAAAATAATCGCCTGTTTTGAGTTTAGTCAGATTATATTTACGCTAATTACATTAAGATAAACCATTAAATTAAAAAAAAAACGTTTACATCAAATTTGTCTATAATTAACTAATCAGATTCCTGAGAAATGTTATTTTTTGTTAATTTATCAAAATTTCTTAAATATTAACCAGTTGATTATAAAATTTAACATAGTTCACAACTTTAATCGGTTCAATAGCAAAAAACATTCAAATGAGATTTTACAAAACTACGAACTTATTATTAGTTATTTATACACAATATATTCTAGGCAATGTCCAAAATTAAGATTCGTTCATGGCAAACGATATTTATTTTCTGCAAATAAATATCTTTTTTAGTGTATTTTAGCCGGTCTAAAAATACATGGTGTTCCGTTCATGTTTCAAAAAAACTTGTGTGCAAGTTCCTATAAAATAATGGGGGTAGTTCATGTAATGTTTTTTCCTTAGACAACCCTGTTTTCGAGATACAGTGTGTTGAAGTTGTTACTTTCCCAATAGTTTTCCTGAATTATCTTTAAATCGGCTAAAGATAAAAATGTCAAAATTTGTACACAACATCAACTGTGGGTTAAGAACAATGTGCAAACGGTTTCTTTCTGAAAAGCAGTGTCGCCGATACAGGTAATTGGAGGGATACAGTCGAAAAAAAATATGTTAAAAGTCAAAATTTATGACATTTCTAAACAGTTCTGTAAACTCTAGTACAAAGTATACTACAATAAAAAGGTATACTTGTCGAAATTCGGTAGCATGTACCATTTTCGAGAAAAATGAAGTTGCATTTTTTTGCTCACATAAACCGGCATAACAAAATATTAAATTGAAAGAGGGCTTTACCATTGAATGAGCCGAAGACATTTAGCTACCAACAGTATTTGCATTTAAGACTATAATTTTAATTTCTTAGTATCACATGAAACAGTTAAATTGTAAAACATTTTGTTAACTAAAAAAAAAATTGAAATTTATTTTAAGTTTCAGATTGTTGTGAACTAACATTTAAAAAAGTGAATCAAACAAAATAAACAGATTATGGTAATTAATTATCTATTAATAAATAATTTTAGATTTTGTAAACTACTACACTACCATTACTAAAATAAACAATTGTTGAATGGAGTGAATTGTTGATGGACATGAATGCTTAAAAAAACTGATAAGAACAGAAAAGAGAGAGAACAGACTCGGAGACGTACAGAACAAAACAGCCGCACAATTAAATAATTGAACAAAACTCGAACTACTAAAGTAGATGCTAAAATTGTCCCCCATTTGCTTCTATGCAACTTCATTTTTCTCGAAAATGGTACATGGTACCGAATTTCGACAAGTATACCTTTTTTTGTAGAATGCTTTAGAGTTTACAGAACTATTTAGAAATGTAATAAATTTTGACTTTTAACATATTTTTTTTCGATTGTGCCCCCCCAATTACCTGTATCGGCGACACTACTTTTCAGAAAGAACCCGTTGGCATATTATTTTTAACGCACAGTAGGTGTTTATTCCTGTACAAATTTTGACATTTTAACTTCAACACACTGTATCTCGAAAAGAGGGCGTCTAAGAAAAAAACTTTATAAGAACTACCCCTACTATTTTTCCATGAGGAATTTGCACATAAGTTTTCTTGAAACATGAACGGGACACCCTGTATATTGATGTACCAAAGTAGTAAAGGTACAGGAGTCAAATAAAAGTGTTCTAGAGATTGATTTTGTCTATTTCGGCGTTAACCTATCTCTATGTAAATGTTTTTACTAAAACCACATGGTCAAAAATATAACAAGTATTAAAGCAATAACTTACATCATTGGCCGTGACGAAGAAACTCATAGGCAATATACCGAGCGCACCGAATAGCAAACATAACATCCGCACCAGGTACAAAGTATCATTTGGGGTGTGTTTCTCTTTACTTAACTTATCCGCCAGTTGCTCAGGTTTCGTTGTGGAGATCAAGGAAACTGAAAATATTAATTAGGTTTAAATCAACAAGAAGTTTTTCATATTTTAATGTTACCTCTCCTAAGAACATCAGCCATCTCTTCAAAGTTCTCCATCTTTGCCGGTAGTCTGCTTCCTACTAGTATCGGCGGAGCATCAAATAAAAACTATTTATAAGAAAATACGTGGCACTTAAAATGCTATTGTCAAGTGGGTCCTTTTCTTTTCAACAATGTGGAATGCACTCAGTAATTCGCGATAAAGAATACAATTATCTATGTATATATCTATAAAAACCTTCACTGATGAAATGAAGAATAGAGTCCAATTACATTTTTAATGAATATAAAATTTTTATTTATTATCTATTTAAACAGAGTCAGAAATAGATGGGTGTTGTGTACACAGGTAAGGAGCAGTGTCTAAAAATATATTATACAGTATACAGGGTGTCTCTAAAGGGTCTGTACAACGTTCCACCAGATATGGTACGGCTCAAAATAAGTCGATTTAACTAACCTTGCCTTAGTCCAAAAATTGATAATAACGGATTGGTAATAACAGGGTGTCAAAGTTGAAAAAATAAATGACGTCTTTAATATCTTTCGACTATTTCAAGCGAATTTCGTAACCGGGTTTTTTTTGTGATGAGAAATCACTTTCGACTATTATACGTTGATCAGTTAACAACGTTAAGAATTATACATAAGCTCTGATATCACACCTAAAAAAACACATTTTATATCAGAAAATATTTATAGGCGAAGCACGATAAAAAAATCAAGTTGCCACGATTCTTATTTCTACTTATAACAAATTAATTAACCTTCACATTGTTCATTCTGAATTGAGTCGATCATAAAATTATATATGAATATAAAAATGGCATTCAAAATTGGGATAAAATACCTTTTTCCGTTCCCAACTACACTTGGGGAAAAAACAGCATGTGCAGACAAATTTTGAACAATTTTTTCCAGCAGTTTCATTTGTTGCTTATGAGCAGAAATTAACCTTGTGACAATGTACCTATCAAGTACATGTTTTTAACAAAATTTAATTTTTTTATTTTTTCTAATCCATTTCCTTAAGTGCAGAAATATCAATACATGTGCATAATATGTATAAACAGATTACTAGAGAACAATGTAATTTGAATAAAATTAATTATCAGAAATCTAGTAATTGTTTTTAGTCCAGTCGGTATCTGTTTTAAAAATAGGTTGTATGGATGTTTGATATAATATCGCTAATTTTTGTTGGAAATAGTTCTAAATACTATGTAGAATGATAATCGCGATATGCGTCCACTGAAAAAGTTGTGCATAATTGTTAGCGCAAGAAAATGTGAAAAAAAAATTAAAAAACACGCATTTTCCTTCCTTCTTTCACTTATAACTCGGATAATATTGATATTAGAAAAATAGTCAAACGAAAAAAAAGTTTTGTTTTGAGATTCTCTTTAAAATAAAAGTAGTCCGGAATTTTTGTGTGCATTATTGTTGCTGCAATACAGTATAGACCGAAAAAAAATTCCTGAAAAAAGATCGTTTTTTCATTAATTTATTTCGGACCTTGACTTTAGAACAGCCATATAAAAAATAGGGTTCTGAGTGAGTATTCATGATATGGTAGTATTGCAGAAGTTTTTTCATCGAAATCGGCCGGGTAGAAATACAGAAAATACTGAATTATATTTATTTTTCAATTCCCTCTCACGGTAAAAGCAATGATTACTTTGAGCTCCCAATTTTTATACATACCCTTTGGAGTCTCAATTATCAATCTCCATTTAAAAATTTTCGATTTTATCCATTTTAGCAACAATTAGAATTTTTTCAAAATTTCTTCGAAAAAATACTTATAAAGATTTAGATTTCAAATGTAATTATAGGACCAAATAGAGGAAGGATTGACGAACAAAATCCACTTTTGATCTTGTGGATACGATGATTCGTCATCGAGATATGAAAGCTCAAAGTTGAAATGAGTTTACGGCAAAATAACAATCAAAAGTGATTTTGAATGTTTGTGGCGCAAAGACTTTATAACTTTGAAAATTTGTTTAAATCGGAAATGTATTTTAACTGTTCTGATACAAAAAAGAGTGATATATTTCACGGGAATCGACCAGAGAATCAACGAGTGGGAGTGGGAGTGGGGGGACTATGCGAGTGGAGCAGCATAATTCCCTCGCGCAACTTCAATCGAGTTTTTCAAAGCTTCTACAACAGATAAATAGATGATTTTTTTAATCGATAGAGGGAAGCTAGATCTATTCGAATCGCTCCGCTCGCATAGTCCCCCTACTCCTCACTCTTTGACTATCTGCTCGATTCCTGTGAAGTGTATCAATCTTTTTGCATCAGAACAGTTAAAATACATATTCGATTTAAACAAATTTTCACATTTATAAAGTCTTTGCGTCAAACAATCAAAATCATGTATGATTGTTATTGTAAAGTACGTTGTTTTTGCCGTAAACTCACTTCAACTATGAGCTTTCATATCTCGATGACGATTCATTGTATCCACAAGATCAAAAGAGGATTTTATTCGTCAATCCTTCCTCTATTTGATCCTATAATTACATTTGAAGAATATGCAAATGCGATAGCTCCAGCTCGAAATGTTTATAAGTATTTTTTTGAAGAAATTTTGAAAAAATTCTAATTGATGCTAAAATGGATAAAATCGAAAATTTTGAAATTGGGATTGATAGTTGAGACTCCAAACGCTATGTATAAAAATTGGGAGCTCAAAATAATCATTGCTTTTACCGTGAGAGAGAATTGAAAAATAAGTATAATTCTGTATTTTCTTAATTAACAATTCAATTGTGCGAAATCTACCCGGCCGATTTCGATGAAAAAATTTCTGCAATACTACCATATCATGAAGTACCTACTCAGAACCATATTTTTTTATATGGCTGCTCTAAAGTCAAGTTCCGAAATAAATTCATAAAAAACCGATATTTTTTCACGAATTTTTTTTCGGTCTATACTGTATTGCAGCAACAATAATGCACATAAATATTCCGGACTTTTATTTTAAAGAGAATCTCAAAACGAAACTTTTTTCTTTTGACTATTTTCTCTAATATCAATATTCTCCGAGTTATAAATGAAAGAAGGGAGGAAAATGCGCATTTTTTATTTTTTTTTTACATTCTCTTGTGCTAACAATTATGCACAATTTTTTTAGCGTTCGCATATGGCAATTATTATTCTACATAATATTTAGAACCATTCCCAACAAAAATTAGTGTTACTATATAAAACATCCATCCCGAAACAGATACCGACTGGACTATTTCCGCAATGTCATCAGTTAGGAATCTTGTCCTTGTGATTAGAAACCTGTTATATACCTAGATTTTATCAAAGAACATTGTTTAACTTCAGTTGATAAGGATTTTTAGAAAAAATATTTATATTTTTTGAATTGACTTAATTCCTTTAAAATTTAGTAAAAAAATACGGCAAAATATATCATTTATAAAAAAAAAATAGTAAAAATGGCAAATATTTGTTACATTCAAAGTTTTTGACACTGTCGTTTGAAAATTACATTTTTTTTAAAGTTTAATGTTTATATATAATTTTGTCATATTAATATTTGTTAATACTATACAGCAGGAGCCTGCCTGATAAAACAATACAACAACAGTAAAATGTGGAAACAAAAAGATGTCTTTGCAACAGCTGTTTTTTTACGTATTTCCTGGTAACCTGTTGCCATGGAATTTTCCAAGTAAAATTCATATACAGGGTGTTAATGAACTTATATCAAATATTTTTGCCACATGTCCATTATGTCAAAATGAGGTAAATACACGGATTTGTGTTGAGTAAAATGTAATTTTTAAACCTGACATACTTCAACATTGCAGGGAGCCACCTTTTGAGAACTGCCGATTTTCATAGAATATGTTCGATGTAGCCACCATTTGCTTGCACACAAGCTTCAGCGCAAAGTATCCAATTCGCTCGCACACGTTGCAACATTGCCACGTCCTCTCGAATCGTATTATAAGCTTTGGCAATACGACGCGACGTCGCAGTTGGTCGATGTCAGGAACTGCCGTGGAATACACAACACTTTTCACATGTCCCCAGAAAAAGAAGTCTAAAGGGGTGAGGTCCGGGGACCGGGGCATCTAACTAGGCTACCGCTGTCTATCCAGCGATCGGGAAAAGTAATGTTTAGAAAGTCCCGCCCTCTCCGAAAAAAGTGAGCGGGGGCTCCGTCGTGCATTAACCATATATTTTGCCATACATTTAATGGCACGTCTTCTTTCCAATAACTCCGGCAAGCGATTTTGTAAAAAATCTAGATATGAAGCACCGTCTAAGCGTCTAGGCAATTCAAAAGGTTCTATCAAAATGACATCAACGATACCGACCCACATGTTCACTGAAAACTGTTGCTGAAAAGCACCGTGACGTATTTGGTGAGAATTTTCGATAGTCCAGTAATGAGTGTTGTGGACGTTACGACGTACACCGTTTCGACTGTAACATGTTTCATCTGCAACAAGTATTTGCGCTGTAAATTGAGGATTTCTTTTATGTTCCTCATGCAATCATTCGCAAAAACCTCGACGTAGCGAAACTTCCTCAGAAGTAAACGCTTGAACACGTAGAATATGAAATGGGTACAACTGAGCTTCTCGTAATGTTAGCCACACAACAGGATGCGAAATATTTACCTACTGTGCGATATTTCTGGTGCTATGATGTGGATCTTCTTCGACAAGATATAAAATCATCTCCTCGACATTTAATATTCTTAGTGGTCGCCCTAGTCTAAAACTCTGCACTACAGCAACAAATGTTCGCGGTGCGGGGGCACGTCGTTCAAGATATCTTGCACGGTAGGCTTAACAAGCTCTGTGAGTATTTTCGTTTGCTTAGCCATAAATTATTAAATGTACTCTCGAAAAACAGCACAGCAATCACTACAACAATGTATTACAAACTGACTTTCGAATACAGTCCTGCTTCAAACTCGTAAAAAGTGTTACAGAATTTTTATAAATACTGTATTTGTACACATTGTTAATTAGCTTTTTTCTCTATGCCCTTAAACTTCCGATACAAGTTTGTGACATCAGTTAACTCAGT